ATATGAAATGTGTGTGAAGCCATTATATATTATAGATGTTTGGCTAATGTGATAGTATATTATTATAACATAATATGAAAACATGCAGAATTCTTCATTCGATTTAGAATGGCATAAAAAAAGCATTAATTAAGCACTTTAGGGAAGAGATTTAATTTCCCTAACCAGTTTAGCTAGTAAACACTTACCTATTAATAATACCATGTGTATAATCAATGAATATACAGATGTTATAATTAAGAAATATACAGGAAAGTTAGGCTAAGTAAGATTATTGCAACAGGAAGATAATAAATGGAAAATGTTTACTGATGCTGTAGGCTCACAATGTTCTCCACAAGGAGTGATCTCCAGGAAGAGATCCTTACTCAGTGGCAGTCAGTATTTAAATGCGATCTAGGAGATGTGGAGCCAGGCTCCACCCCTTCTGGTAGCACAGGTGAATTACCTTCACCTGTGCTCCCATGGCTGATTCATTGCTTACCTCAGGTGGTCAATCAGAGGTTCAGGCCATGATTCAGCAGTTCTCACACACCATGGAATATATAAATTATCATTAAAAGCCTTATGTGGTAATGCTCACTTGATGAATGTGGAATGTTTCATTAAAAAGTTAGTAATGGTAATGAGGCTATCTTCTCAAATATATCACTGCCTAATTTTCTCTAACTTAGACTAGTATAGACAATTCATTTTATGTACTCAAGTATTTTCAATTGTATTTCACTACTGCTGTTTGTCCTAAGTCACATCAAGACTTCTAATATATTTGAAGTATTAACCTTCTGGCTAGGAGCATGCTTTTGAGTATGCTAGCTGATGATGAAACCTAAAATAGTAGTATAGAAATCATTAAAAACAAGCTCCAGTTAAATAATTTCAGAATTTTATGTCAAAGTAACTATGAAAAAGTGTCTTGAAAATAAATGTCATCACGCAGTTCACTTTATCTTGATTAAATTTTCAATTAGAACATAAGGGTTTTTTTCAGTATTTATTTGCTGATCACTTTGCATGCAAAAATGCTTTGTCTAATATTCTTAGGTATGTTTTATAGTATTGATAACTTCTAGAGATTTAAGAGCCAGTAACTTGGAGAAACTAACAATTTTCTGCCTCTTACAGACTAATCTGAATCATAGGAAAGAATAAGTAACGTGTCCTTAAAAAATAAGAAATATGAACAGCTGTCATGCTTAATGTATGAATTTCCATTTACAGACTTACAGATCTTGATGAAACTGTTCTTCCTTGCTGCTTCTGCCAAAAATTAGTCTGTAAGGCAGTTGCGATATTGGTAGAATTCTGTATCGTGCTGGAAAATAGTTCATTTTTACTTCAAAATAAGGAGGGACAGAAATGTGATAAAGGATGAGGTGTGCTACTTATGTATATGAAAAGCACTGCTTTTCTGACATTGTTTTTTTTATTCAATTTTTCACTTTGAGAGTTGTCCAACCCAGTGTACCAGGCTGCATATCTCTGACCAACTTGACGGGAATATTCTATGCTGTGGCTTACCATTTTCAGACCTGATTGCCTGGCATTTAGCATAATTTCCACAGTGCATTCTTTGAATAAGTTTTTTTTTAATAATTATTATTAAGTAAAACATGTTTATTTTTTTTAGGAAAAGTCTCATGTTTGTGATTCTGCAATTCTACTAGGTATTTTTTTTATACTGGTAATATAATCACTTTTAAAATTATTAGGATAAGCTACATTTTTTCCACTTCTAGGTAATCTGTGAAAGAAAATTGCAATTATCACAAATAAACAGTAATGCAAGTCACCATTTTCTGATTTGAATGATACTTTGAGATTGTTGAAAATATTGTCTGTATAAATTGATCTCACAACAACTCTTATGTTAATAAGTTTTAAATGAGAAACATCAGTAAAACTTCAGTCTCAAAATTGCATTGCTACTGAAGACTCAGATATCATTATCACTATCTAATATTAAATTCCCTAACTCAATGGATAGTAAGGAGTATGCACACACTGTCCTTTCTAAACAGTCATTGCACCTATTTTTAACTGATGAATTTGAAAAAAATATATATTCTAGATTAAAATAAAACTGATTTTGTTGTCATAAACAGCACTTTCCTTAACTAATGTTGTTTTTTGCTTGTATATTTGTTTTTTAAATAATTATTATCACAGCTTGACGTTATCCTCTTTCGGTGCTTGTTTTAAACTTACATAGAGTTGATGGAAAAGGTATTAACCACATTTGAATATGAAAATACTTAAACTATTCAGGAAAGAATGGGTATTAACTTATCCAAGATGCAAATGACAGATTAGGTATGTGGTTTGATTATTTTCTTGTATTGGATGGTAGTGCTTGAATGAGATTGCCACTTGAGTTTCAAAAGTAGGAGGAAATTTAATTTTTACATTAGAACTAAGATCTTTAACAAGTAAGCACTTGCGTATGAGATTTTTTAATAAGAGTTTTGAAGTGTACTTAATAAAAGATGTTAAGCTTACACTATATGAATAAAAGAAATAATGTCACTTGAAACCTTATGTTATTACTGAGATGGTGCTTGATTTCACTGATTGTGTATAATGAAAAGTTAAACATTGTTCTTTTTTAGCTTTAAAATTAAAGTTGATGCTATTCAATTCTGTCTGCAGGGAGCTTTGAAAGTAACAACTAAAAACCTCAGATATAAAATGTTTTTGTTTGCTTTTTTGTTTCTCTGAAGGCGTACTGTCCAATGGCAGACATACAACTACTGTTTGCTTGTAGAATTTGTGTATTTTGTTTATTTTGATGATAAAAATTATTTGAAAAAATAGCACATTCATGTACAGATGCTGATCTGGAACTGTTTCAACAAGTGAGAGTGTTTATGGAAGTAGTGGTTGATGGGCATTTCTCTGATCATCTGGACTCCAGTATGAATGGTTGCAAGTAATCCTTGTTATAGTTTGCATTAAAAAAAAACAAAACAAAACAAAAAACAAAACAAAAAACCACTTCCTGCATCTTATCTGTTATCTGTTTGGACTCAATTTAGGAAGTGTGTTTATTATATATTCTGTTTTAAAGTGATCAAAGCATTTTTTTTTGCTGTTGTTTTTATGTAAATTATGAATAGAGGTTAAGAACTAAAGATCATGGTTGCATGAAAACAGCTTCAAGGACTGAAGGACTAGCATAAGAAAGACTGTTGTGTATACTGTCCGTGTGGGGACCTCAATCAGCCTGCTTAGAGTCTTCAAAATAATCTAAGGAAAGTTGCCATGTACATGACTCAGGCTTGGTTTTTCTATAGGTTTTTAATTTTGTAGCAGTTTTGTCTTTGTTTTTGATGTCTTGTTACTGATAGCCTGAGAATTATCCCAAAGTGAGGATGTTGTATCAAAATTGTGGTTTGGGTTTTAATTTTTTAGCGTAGTTTATTTGTCTTTGTTGAGCATCCCAATGAGAAATGTCAAACTACGTTTAATTTAAAAGCTGTTTGCTGATGTCATCCAGGTACCTACTGACACAACTGTATCAAGATGAGATCTTTGTAAACCAGGTAAATGCAGTCTTAGGTAGTATGAGCTCTACTTACCCAGTTCAGTTAATGTGTAAATCTTTTCCATGCACATATTCATTATATTGCTGAAATTTTAGCGGATAGTGTGAGGGTTGGGAGGTAGAGGATAGCCGAAAGCTGGTAATGGCATGCTTTCCATAGAAAGCAAATCTGAAGGTGGAGGAAGGAGAAGAGGTGCATAGAAAAAGATAACTCAGATTTGTGTAAATCTATCCAAATGACTTCTGCGAAGCTCCTGGCTGTTTCAGGCACATTGCTGGTGGTTTCTGTGTTTATTTCTTGTTCTGCCAGTAAGTTGGTCTGTCTTTTTTCAAGTGAAATGCATAGTTGCCACTAGTCTGTCCTGTGACTTATAGTTCATTTTGGGGCAATTTTAACATATATTAGAAAACATGATTACAATAACCACATTAACACATTCAGGAAAAAAAAATATAGAAAAGCAATGAGAAGAAGTGCTATTGTTTTTTCAGAGTTGAATGCTGTTTTATTTTGCCATTTAACACAAATCAAGTAGCTTGAAATATGTGTTGCTTTAGAAATCTGTTTTGGACTGAAAATATGGACATTCCTGAGAATAAATTCAGCACAGTATACAAATGTGTATGAAAAAGACATTATGGCTTTTACATTAAGCATTCTGACTTCCTGAACATGAACAGAAACATTGCCTTTTTCCTACAAAACAAGGACCATGTTCTTTTATATTTGAATGAGTACTGGAAAATTATTCATAGAATATTAACCTTATATCTGAACTGATTCTTGTAGTACTGATTAACCTAGTGAATGTGTTACATCAGACTTTCCTGATGAGTTATCAGCCATAGTTTGGATTTCATATAATTATTATAACACAGGATTTAACAGCAAGCAGTTTCTAACATAGTCACCATCATATGATCAGTTTTAAATAGGAATAAAATGTATGCTTAAATTTGAAGAAAATTCTTAGCTTATATATTATATGTATATATATCTTCATCAGTGACATCGACAGTAGGGTTGAGTGTTGTGGGGGGTGGTTGACACACCAGAGGGATGTGGTGCCATCCAGAGGGATCTAGACAGACTTGAGCAGTGGCCCAGGTGATCCTCGTGAGATTCAACAAATCCAAGTACAAGGGCCTACACTTGAGTTAAGGCAATTCCCTTTACCAATACAAACTGGGAAATGAAAACACTGTTGAAAAAGATCTTGGGGGTAATTGTGGATGGGAAGCTGGACATGAGCCAGCAATATGTCCTCATAACCCAGATATCCAGCTGTATCCTAGGCTACATCAAAAGATGCTTGGCCAGGAGGTCAAGGAAGATGATGATGCCCCTCTACTCTGTGCTGGTGAGTACTGCATCCAGATGTGGAGTCCTCAATACACGAGGGACACAAACCTTTTGGAATGCATCCAGAAGAGGGCCACAAAAATGATTCAAGGGATGGAGCACCTCTCCAATGAGGATAGGCTGAAGGATGGGGCTCTTCAGCCTGGAGAAAAGAAGGCTGTGAGGTGTCCTGATAGCAGCATTTCAGTATCTAAAGGGGAGGTACAGGAAGGAAGGTGGCAGATTCTTTAGCAGGGTCTGTGGTGATAGAACAAGGGGAAATGGATTTAAGCCATGGTTTAAGTTAGATATAAAGAAAAAATCTCTTACAGTTAGGGTGGTGAGGTACTGGAACAGGTTATCTTGGGTTGTGCTTGATGCTCTGTTCTTGGAGACTTTCAAGGCGAGGTGGGATAAGACCCTGGGCAACCTGATCTAGCTGTGATGCCCCTGTTCATTGCAGGAGAGTTGGACTAGATGACCCTCAGAGGTCCCTTTCATTCCAGATTCTATGATTCTATACTAATTTTAAAATTGTTGCTTAGTCAGGTGGAAGTTGCTGCATATTACTTCTGCTTTTTTGGTTAACCATTTCAGTTGTGAAATATTAGAAACCTTCTGTAGATTTACTGCTTGCTTCCACCAGTGAACTTCCGCGTATCTCATTTGAGTGAAGAAGAAATTATTCCAAAGTTTTACTTATGGTAATCAGTGTAGAATTCAATGCATAATGAAGAATTTCAAGAAATAGATTTCTGGTCAGCTTATTGTGAGTGTGACTCACTGCATGTGTCACCAGTAACAATCAGAGTTGGATTCTGTCATTGAGGACTAGGGTGCAAAAGGAGGAGGAGATGTAGGGGCAGTTGTGATCAAAAAGAAGTGGAGTCTTCTGCTTCAATTAGGCTTTTTTTGCTTTACTTTTTTATTGTTAAGTTTCAGAGGGATCCTGCTATTAAAGTTTACATATATTTTTATAATGCATATAATCATTCATGGGTGTGATTAATAAAAGCTGTAGTGTATTTTGGAAGTAAATCTTTGGTAATTGCCATCTTAAATTGTATACCTGCCTCAGTAACTAGTGATTAAATGTTCCATTGTATTACAATTAGGTGAATTTCAAGCTTTCCTTTCAGATTCATCAGGTGTGATAGGTATTACTTTCCATACGTTCATATGTAGGGTTTTTTTCCCAAAGTTTTCATCTTAAAGGGGGCTTCAGAGCAAACAGCTTTGTCTACTTCAGCAGATGTCTGCCACTTCAATTTCCTAGTATCCAATATAGTTTATAACATATGCTTTTGCCATGTCACCCATCTGTATTTTAAAAGACCATCAATTTAATAACGGAGTGCAGCCTGATCACTCACAGAATAAAATAGATATAATTATGCTGCCAAGTGCCAGTTCAGTAGTTCAATGTTTTTGATGGAATGCTATATATAGTAAATAGAAAAAGCAACTCAATAAGAGTGTTCATGCATACACTATTACAGTAGTTTAGATAATTTTATCAACAAAGCATTGGAAATAAAGATTATGATTCTTGCTCAAAAATAGGATAATTCATATTCTTGCTGTATCACCTCTAGAAACTCTTTATTGATAAGTCTGATAATGTACTTTGTTAAATTATAATACATGCTTTGGTAATTTGTTTTCACAATTCTCAGTTTATTTGTGAAGTTGTCAGAATATCCCATCTATAAATGTGGCTGAGACAAGTTTTGCTTGTCACAGTATAAATCTAGTTTACAGTTTGCTCACTGATTAGCAAGTGGATATGAAAACCAGAAGGCAAACTTATGCTGGGCAGTGAGTTCTGTAAGTCTGATAACTGGTTATCCAACTATAAAAGCTTTGTAAAGTACCAAAATGCAAAATGTGAAGATACATTTGAATTACACTGGGGATAATCATGGCTCTTCCTGCTGTTTACGTTTAGTTCGGTGATCAGCTTCATTAGTTTAATTTCAGGCATTTATCCGAGGTTGCTGGTGCTGAGAGAAGCTTAAGTTCTCTGAGTTATTTGCATCATGCTGCTGGATGAGTGGCTCTTCTAGAGGGCAGTTCATTCTGACTTAGAGCTGAATTTCCATGTAAAGATACTTAGCTTTTACTACTGTAGTAGGAAACACTTTAGATAAATAGAACTCATGAGAACTCCTGAGTTAGATGTGTGTTTCATATGAGATGTGTTTGGAAGGATTTGGGTTGGTCTGTGATGATGCCCTGTTCCCAACTCTCTGAAATATTCTACAATTCTTATCGAGTCAATGGTTTATGGGCTGGTTCAGCCCAGTTCCATGACTAGCAGGGCAGAAGAATTTCGCAAAATCTGTGCCTCTGGAAAAAAGGGAACAGGGGACCCCAAAATAATTAAAAACAGCGGCAACAATCTGAGGAGAAACAAACTAATTTACTAAATATATTTTTGGAATGTAAAATAACATGCTATAATACAATATAATTAAAATTGAAGCTAATAAATCAAATATAGTGTGAGAGAGAATGTCCGAAAGGTGGATAGGCCTCACCACAACGCTAAGGTGAGATGTGCAGTCCAGTTGAGCAGTGAGGAGACAGGAGGAGAGCCGATGAAGAAGAGCGCATCAGGTGACCTTGCCAGGAGTTATATCTCCTCTCTGTGACTGCAGAGTCCCCTGGGGAATGTAGTTCTTCTCTTCCAGGCAGGTACCCAGAACTTGAGCATTAACAGTTAAACTCTGAGTGCCCCACATGATGTTATGATTTGGAATACCGAAAACCAAAAATCACAAAACCATGACATATTGTCAATTGTACTTCTTAGCATCATAGAATTACAAGGTTGGAAAGGATCTACAGGATAATCTAGTCCAACTGTCCTTCCTTTACCACTGCTACCCTAATCTACTAAACAAGACCTCATAGCTTGTCATTCAGATGCCTCTTGAACACTGCTAGGGACAGACTCCATCACTTCCCTGGGCAGGCCATTCCAGTGCCTGATCACTCTGAGAGTAAAAGTTTTTCCTTATGTCTAACTTAAAACCTCCTTTGGCACAACTTACAGCCATCGGGTCCTGTTTGTTTCCTGGGAGAGGAGGACAAACCCTCCTCATCACAGCCTCCCTTCAGGAAGTTGTAGAGTGTGATGAGGTCTCCCCTGAGCCTCTTCTTCTCCAGACTAAACAATCTCAGTACCCTCAGCCACTCCTCATAAGACCTTCATCTAGGTCATCAATATAGATATTAAACAAGATAGACCCCAGTACTGATACCTGGGCGACACCACTTGTAATGGGTTGCCACTTAACTCTATTAGCCACTACTTGCTGGGCACGGCCCTCTAGCCAGTTCCTTACCCAAAGAATATCTCTCCAGTCCATGGACAGCCAGTTTCCCCAGAAGAATACTGTGGGAGACAGTGTCAAAGGCTTTGCTGAAGTTTAGGTAGACTACATCAACAGCCTTTCCATCATCTACCAGTCTGATCACCTAGTTGTAGAAAGAGATGAGGTTGGTCAAGAACAACCTGCCTTTTATGAATGTGTGTTGGCTGGGCCTGATCCTCTGGATCACGTATGTGCCATGTGATCTTACCTGAGATAATTTGGTCCATAACTTTCGCTGGTACCGAGGTCAGGCTGACATGCCTGTAGTTTCCCGGACCTCCTTACAGCCCTTCTTGTAGATGGGAGTCACATCAGCAAGCCTCCAATCCTCTGGGACCTCTCCAGGTAGCCAGGAGTGCTGGTAGATGATGGAGAGTGGCTTGGCAATCACCTCCTGCAGCTCCCTCAGCACCCTAGGGTGGAGCCTGTCTGGTTCTATGGACTTGTGACAGTTCAGATGGAGGAAGAGTTCTATCTCCACTTGAATCACTGTATATTTAGTATGAACTGCTTCTTGATTTGAACAACAGCTCTGGACCTGTAACTTGAGGGCCAGGAAAGCTCAATGCTTAAATTCACTTCAGAATGAAGCTTGGCTAATATAGGAGGTAGAGATAACTGTAATATAAAGCAAAAAATAAATAAATGTCAGTAGTAGTTTATAAATTTTAGACTAGATAGTTGCTGATTAGTATTATTTATTTAGAAGTTGTGAATTTTGTCTTTTAATTATGTATGCAGAGAAAGCTGGAAAATATTGCAAGTAGGTAAAGGAAATGAACACTGAATGAGTTGCCAGCTTTTAATTATGCAAATGAACAGCACTGTAGAAGAATTATTTAGTAATCTTTTTGTGCTTAGAATTGCAAATCTATCTCCATGATGGTGTGTAGAACAAATGAAACTGGATTTGTGTAACCTCTTTTCATTAGATCTTTTTAATTAATGAGATTGAGCAAAAGTACCAGTGTTCTTAAGAGTCCACGTGTAATGTGCAATTGTTCAGGATAGTTGAACTGCTGCTGACAGTATTCTCCTTGTAGGGGATCTTGTTATATTGTACTATCTTATTTAAGAATCAACAATTATTCATTTCTACTGATTTGTTTATAACACTTTTATTAAATGCTTTATTAACTTTTTATAGCTACATGTTTTTGTTTTCTTTCTGCTGTATAGCCCTGTGTCTCACTCCAATTTATAGGAGGGAGATGAGGTTCATTTAATATCTGTATACCCAGTGTGAGATTAAGAAACAACGGTTCAAATGTTAGTCCAACCAGTTTATTATAAATCCTAATCAGGGAGATGGGGAAGGGAAGGAAGGCAATAGAAAAGATAGGAAAAAAGCAAGAATTGCATCAAGCGGGGATAGTCACCACCAGGATCCAGCAGCAGTCCCATTACATGACCTTTAGAAGGTCCAAGGCAAAAGCAGCGGGGGGGGGGGAGAGCAACAGCTTGACCGACCTTGGGCAGCAAGCAGGTAGCAGGAGGCAGTTGCAGAGCCAATCTGGGAGGAAGCAGCAGGACTCAGGTAGCAGGCCCAGGTGAGTCTGTCAGCATGCAGGAATTCCGTAGTGAGGGATCTGATGGCAGACACCTTTGCTTGTCTTCAGCATCGTGGTAGAGTGCAGAGCAAGTCCAGGGAGGGAGAGAGGCAGGTCCCTCTTCTTCTTCATGAGGGATCTGTTGCCAGAAAACCTAAACCTCATGATTGTAGGTCCCCATTTTGTCCTTCTTTTTCTGCCTACGTGACATCCCTGGGCGCTTGAGCAAGAGTCATATGAGTACCCGTTGAGATGGCCATTTTCCTTGAGATAAGCCCACACAAAAGATCGC